GGTAAAAGGAATAAGCTCTTTCCATTAATAGAACAAAAAAAGATATATCAGAATGTGAGTAAAATGTTCATATAATCATAGAAGTAGGGTCGGAAGGGACCTTGTAGATCTTCAAGTCCAACCCCTGCCTGGGCAGGAGGAAACTGGCCAGGTAGGCATCAAGCCTCTTCTTAAAGACCCCAGGGTAGGAGCCAGCACCACTTCCCTTGGAAGTTGGTTCCAGATCCTAGCCACCCTGACTGTGAAGTAGTTCTTACGGATGTCTAATCTAAACCTACTCTCCAACAACTTGTGGCCATTATTCCTTGTTATCCTGGGGGGTGCTAGGGGAAACAAGGTCTCCCCCAAACCCTTCTGGTCCCCCCTAGTGAGTTTATAGACAGTCACAAGGTTCCCCCTCAGCCTTCTCTTGTGAAGGCTGAACAGGTTCAGGTCCCGTAGCCTCTCATTGTAGGGTCTGCCCTGCTGTCCCCGGATCATGCGGGTGGCCCTCCTCTGGACCCTCTCAGTGTTGTCCACATCCCTCTTGAAGTGGGGTGCCCAGAACTGGACACAGTACTCCAGCTGCGGCCTGACCAGTATCACGTAGAGGGGGAGGATCACCTCCTTGGCCCTACTTGAGATGTACCTGTGGATGCACGATAAGGTCCGGTTAGCCCTGCCGACCGTGATCTCGCATTGTCGGCCCATGTTCATCTTGGAGTCAATGATGACTCCAAGATCCCTTTCTGCCTCTGTGCTCTCAAGAAGGGAGTTTCCCATCTTATAAGTGTGCTGCTGGTTGCTACTGCCCAAGTGCAGCACCCTGCATGTTGTGGGGAGAAGAAGAGAAGGCAGGGAAAACTGGACTGTTTCCATATTTTTTAAAACAGAGATAAAAAATCTTGTGGTTTTGAGATTTGTTTTGGATTTTTTTTTTTTTTTGTGTACTTCCCGACTTCTTGTATTTGGAATCTCAGCTGAGATTCGCAGGTCTCTTTCATTCCTTGTTTCTCTTCTCTGATGTTGTGGTGGAGCTGAGCTGATTTGTAGTTTCAGGTAATAACCAGTTGAAACTCAATGATACTGCCTGGTTTTGACCCCAAAGTATTCTGACTCTGAACTTCCTAATGAGCATTTTTAGTTTGTCTGAATCCATAGTTCAAAATAAGATTCAGAGGGTGCAACATCTTTCTGAACCAAAATCTAAGGAAAAATGGCACCACCAGAACCAGAAGTTTTGTGTATAGCTTTAGCCTATAGACATACAGTCCTGGGATGAAATGTTGGGCTGCTGAAGTCACTGATTTTTTTGCCATTCACTTTAGCAGGGCCAGGATTTCACCTCTGGAGGTTTAAAGTTCACCCATTTTACAGGATGGAACTTGTGTTATTTAGTGTTGCTCGGGCCTTGCAGGGCAAGAAATCTTTTGTAAAATAGAGGTAAGAAATGTGTTTTCTTTATTCCAAAGCTGTAATAAGGTTAGATAGCGTTACCAAGATATTACAGTAATACACTTGAGTGTATTGCCATTAGAGAGCGTAGTCTGAGAAGCAGCAAATACTGTGCAATTTTTGTCTTGCTACTTAGATTAGGAGCACTGTGTTATCTTTGAAACAAGGCAGGCAGACAGTTTCCAAGCCCTCTTGCTTCCATCTGAATATTTAATAAGACATATTGAGTATCAGAAAGCTTGGAGCACCTGTTGAGGTCAAGTTGTTACCTCATTGTTCACATAGCCAAATAGAAAACAGAATACAGAAACCAACCTGAAAGAAATCCTGACAGTTATGCAGAAGGTGACAAATGGATATAAGGTGAGTCAAGTGTGGTATGTTTGTATTCAGTGCATCAAGACAGTTCGTCAAGGGTGCATTATATAGAAGCAACAAAGGCAGTCATGAGTAATCAAGTATCCAATCCTAATTCAATAGAATTTAGGATCTAGCCTATGATTACAATTTGCTGCTTACATAGAATTAAGAGCGTGCTAGGTGACTAGGTAGGCAACACAAGTGCAAAGACTTGGTCCCTGTCCTGACAATCTCCTGAATGATATGTAAGTGAGAGGAGTAAATAGTGGAAAAAATGGAGTGAGGAAGCATGAAAACATGTTGGTATTCCTGTACAGTGGGTGTATGCATTGGTGGTTCTGGTAGAGATATTCATACCCTTGTAATGGTACATAAACCACCTTCCTTAGGTAGTAGAAAGTGGACTTATAGACAGAATTTCACTGAGACAAGGTTAATGGCATGGAAAAGCAAATAAGGATGGTGTTCCTCAATACAGGACTTTATGGAAAAAGATACGCAGTAGTTCAGAGGGAAGGAATTTTGTCCTAGGAGCAGATTTCCAAGGCACATATGACACCTCCCCCCCAGTAGCTTTCTTTACTCTCTGGTTGAAGTATAATGGGAGTTAGGCACCAAAATTGAAAATCTGTCCCATAAAGGATACCAGTATACTTTCCCTAACTGTAGGGTTTGCTTAATTCCATTCTGTCTATTTAATCCCTTCTGCATTTGCAACTCAGGTCTTCTCTTTAGAGCTGTTGTGCATTGTATCTAGTTCATAATAGCCATTAAGTTTTTTTTCCCCCAGGCATGGTTGCATTTGTGATAAGTAAAGCAGCCTTTAAAGATGCAATGTGGAAAATGCTTTGAGAAACTTTTGCATAAAATATTCTTCATATTACCACTTTCAGTCAAATATTTAAGACAGTTAATGAAGCCACACTGGTGACTAAAATAAAATAACTAAAGTTAACCTTATGTATGGTGCTTGATACCTGATCGCTGTATCATTCTGTACACAGATACTTATTTACTCTATTGAAAACAGTCTATGCACTAATAGGATAGGAGTTAAAAATTTCTGCCAGTTCAAGGGTTATTACTAGCTGTTCTCTTTATAGATTATAAAGAGGGCCCCAGAATAAGCAAGCCCAAATACCATTTACGCCTCTCACAGCTAGACATCAACAGGACTAAAGAGAACCTTTCACTGTGCACTGGGTCTTCTGCAGTCAGTTTTTCAGTACATTTGTATCCTAGAGTATGTTTCTCTTGCAGGAATATAATGGAGATCCCCATCAGTTTGTTATTGCTTTCATCTGCTTCCCAGTTTAGACCTAAATTAGTTGTTAGAACCCCTTTAAACTAACTGCAAATGACAAAAGCTTTTTCCCTAGTCTTCCATGGCCCGTTGCTTCTACTTTGAATTCACCTCCTGCCCCTGCCATGATTCATGGTTGTTCTGCTGACAATTTTCATTTTCTTTGAGGGCTCTTCATACAAAGCAAAAGTTAAAAGCTCATGTGGTGGAGCATGAAAGCGACAACCAAAGCCGCTGTGTGCTGATGCCAAAAAAAGTTGCATAGGAGTGAAACTGCCATTCCAGCTTTGGCAGGCTGTTCAGCTTTACCCATGGCCACAGTGCTGCTGAATCCACATTTTTCCCTTTTTTTTCTTTTTTCTTTTTCCATTTTTTTTTTTTTTAAAGAAAGGTCATGCCTAGGGAAAGGTACCAGACCAGAAGCCATCAGCAATCTCTTGCTTCATAGACTTACAAACCCAGAGGGCTGGATAATTTTACAGCTAACCAAAAATATTGTTGTTGTTGCAAATGCCAAAATAAAGACAGAATTCATGCTGCAGGGCATAATCAGACCATCTGCAAAGATCTGCATCTGTTTTCTTCTACGTACCCAGCCTCCTGTGATGTGCCTACTGGGTGGGGTTGACTTTTTTTCTTATTCATTAAATCTTAGTCATTGTTGGCTGTTTCACCCTCTGTTAGGGTTTTATTTTAAGCCTTTCTATCCACAAAGCTAACAGTGTAGGTTTCTCATCCTACACCTTTTCTCTTTGAAGTATTGATGGGGATGCTTATCTCTTGCTTCCACTTCAATCAGAATTAAATTCACTATAGTAATTTGCTAAGGTGAATGGAGGCACTGGGATTTTAGCCTTAAGTTACCTCTGAGGTCGAGATCTCCTGTGGTCCAGTCCTGACAGGTGCTGGGCTCACACATCTGTTGATGTCAAGTGTTCAATACTCCTTAGCCTAAATTACTCAGAGAGGTGTTATCTCACATGGGCCTCCTAGCCCTTCTTCTTCACTTCTGAAATAAAGTGTAATAGCTCTAAATTATTAAAGAACAATGTACTTAGCATATATTTATAAAATGTTTCCAAACTATATCCAGCTTTAATGTGGTTAGATGGACCCCAGCATTGATCTAATTAAATATGAGTGCATCCTAGCAGGATCACAGGATATTATTCTAACAGGATTTCTTTTCAGCTACAGAGCTGGGGTTTTGGCCCCAGCAGTTGCAGAAGTGTTCATTGACTAAAGGGTACGTCAAGGGTTGAACAGCTTCAAGATGATGTCAAACATTCATTTTTCCCCCATAGTCATTTGTCTAAACAGAACTTTGGACAAATTCTTAAAATAGCATTTTATACTCTTGGATTCAATGGTATCCTTTTAAATCATATATGGGGTAGCCACTGAAGGAGTTACCATTGTTCTACAAGGTAGCATTGGGCTGATGTTGTAACAGTGATGGCCCAGGGAAAATGAGAAGCAAGGATTTTTATGGACTAACTACATAGTTGGGAAGCATATAGACAAGCTTTTGGGTATAAAGTACCCATAAATAACCTTGCCTCTTGCACAAGAGGCAAGAATTTTTGTGAGTGATATCTTTTATTGGACCAACTGCATGGTTGTGATAGATGTAGAAAAGCTTTGGGCTATCACAGTACCCTTTCTCAAGTCTCTCAGAGAGAAGCAGACACAGCAGAACTAAGTTGCAGAACAAAAGATTTTTGATTGCATATTTCCTGGACCATCATGGCAACATCACTTCAGTACTACCAAAACATTGTTATATGAATCATTCATAACACATACTTTGTCTCTTGTGAATCTGTTTGTCATTGTTTCCACAGTATTATCAAGTGGATAGAAGCAATCTCTTTGTTAACTTGTTTCAAATGGTATGTTGCAGACTAGCCTACCACAGAACTGATGATGATGATGAAGAAGCCGCAAGAGAACGCCGCCGCCGAGCTCGACAGGAAAGGCTGCGGCAAAAGGAAGAGGAAGATGTAGGAGGACAAGGAATAGAGAAACCAGAAGCTAATGCCCAGAACAGGTAGGCTTCAGTTTAAGTGGTTATTCACTAATGCAATTAGTGGAGCTCTGCATTTAGGGATGGGACGTAATGTTCTAGGTGTTTTTCAATCCTATGTTCCTTAGTTCAGGGAGTAGATGTAGACTACGTTTTGCCTTTATTCCCATTGGTTTAAAAAAACCTGTTTCTGGAGTAAGGTGCCACTTATCAGGTGTATCTAAATGAGATGCTTTACTTGGTAAAGAGTCACCATAACATGTGTACACATTAACTGTTCAGTAAATTAGTCTACTGTGCAGTTACTATTAGGGGTGTGAAAATGGGCTGTATTTGATTCAGATTTGGCCCAAATCAGGGACAGTGATTTGATTAGCTGATTCGGATCACTGTCCCTGATTTGATTTGGCCGAATCTGAATCTGAAAATTTGATGCTGATTCAGAGAATCAGCGATTCGGCCATAGACACAGCTTTAAATGTTTTTTCTACATACCTTGACGTACCAGGTGCGAGGTGGGTCCTTGTGTGCTCATCAGTGAACCCAGAAATAGACCGGAAGTATATCCAGTCCAATTCTGGGTTCACTGCTGAGCACGCAGAAATACTTGCAGTCCACTTCCGGTTCTGCTGGGGAGTGTGCTGGGGGCCTCCCCCCGCACGCTCCCTGGAAGACCCAGAAGTGGACTGGAAGTGCATCTGGTCCCCTTCCAGGTCTGCTGCCAAGCACACTGGGGAGCCCCCTGAGCTCTTGTGGGATGCTCCATAGTTTCATAGTTTGTAGGGTCGGAAGGGACCTTGACAGATCATCAAGATCTGACAGAATGACCCCCTGCCATGGCAGGAAAGAGCACTGAGAGGTGTTCTTCTAGCCTCCTCTTAAAGCCCCCCAGGGTAGGAGCCAGCACCACTTCTCTTGGAAGTTGGTTCCAGATCCTAGCTGCCCTGACAGCAAAGTAGTGCCTCCTGATGTCTAGTCTGAATCTACCCTCTGCCAGCTTGTGACTGTTATTTCTAGTCACTCCTGGTAGTGCTCGGGGGAACAGGGACTCCCCCAATGCCTGCTGGTCCCCTCTGACTAGTTTGTAATGGGCCACTAGATCCCCACTCAGCCTTCTCTTGTGGAGGCTGAACAGGGTCAGGTCCCTCAGCCTCTCCTTGTAGGGCCTGCCCTGCTGCCCCCGATCATGCGAGTGGCCCTCCTCTGGACCCTCTCCATGCTGTCCGTATCCCTCCTGAAGTGCGGTGCCCAGAACTGGATGCAGTACTCCAACTGCGGCCTGACCAGTGCCACATAGAGGGGGAGGATCACCTCCTTGGACCTGCTTGAGATACATCTGTGGACAAGGTACGGTTGGCCTTCCTGACCGTGTTGCCACACTGTTGGCCCATGTTCATTTTGGCATCAGTAATTACTCCAAGATCCTTTTCTGCCTCTGCACTGACAAGAAGGGAGTTCCCCAGCCTGTAGGTATGCTGCTGGTTCTTCCTCCCCAGGTGTATCACCTGGCACTTGTCAGTGCTGAAACCCATCCTGTTCTCATCTGCCCACCTCTGTAACCTGTCTAGGTCTGATTGCAGCCTATTCCTCCCTTCTAGCATGCCCACATCCCCCCACATCTTAGTGTCATCAGCAAATTTGAATAGGGTGCTTTTTACCCCCTCGTCCAAGTCACTGATGAAGATGTTGAACAGCGTGGGTCCAGCGTGGGGGACTCCACTGCCCACATCCCTCCAGGTCTAAAATGACCCATCCACCACCACTCTCTGGGTGCATCTCTCCACCCAGTTAGTGACCCATTTGACTGTGTAGGTGTTGACGCCAGTCCCCTAGTTTTTTAATGAGAATGGGGTGGGAGACAGTGTTGAAGGCCTTCCTGAAGTCCAGAAAGACTACGTCCACTGCTACCCCTGCGTCTAAGGATTTGGTGACCTGGTTATAGAAGGCCACCAGGTTGGTCTGACAGGACCTGCCTCTAATGAACCCATGTTGGTTGCCCCTAAGCATAACCTTCCCTGCTGGCCCCTCGTGAACATGCACCAGGATAATTCTCTCAAGAAACTTACCCAGGATCGAGGTAAGACTAACTGGTGTATAGTTCCCTGGGTCCTCCTTCCTCCCTTTTTTGAAAATGGGAACCACATTTGCCCTTTTCCAGTCCTCTGGCACCACACCAGAGAACCACGAGTGCTCATAAAGCTGTGCCAGGGGTCCCGCAATGACCTCTGCTAATTCCTTCAGCACTCTGGGGTGGAGGTTGTCAGGACCAGCTGATTTAAATACGTCCAGTCCCTCCAGAAGTTCCCTGACTAGATCCTCACTGGCCCTAGGCCTGGGTGCGCCTCCCCTGGGGCCTGAGGGGGTCCCGGTGGACAGGCTGATCTGGTCCCTGCTCAAGAAAATGGAGGCAAAGAAATCGTTAAATAGGTTAGCCTTGTCGTCTGGTGCGACAACCGGATTTCCTAGCGTGTCTTGCAGAGGCCCCACATTACTGGGTATCTTCTTTTTGCCCCCTGTGTATTTAAAAAAGGACTTCTTGTTGTCCTTGATCTGGATAGCTAGTCCCAGTTCCATCTCCATCTTGGCCTTCCTGACCGCCCCCCTGCAGCCCCGAGCAACCGAGGTATAGTCCTCCCTGGTGGTGGCCCCTCCCTTCCATTGGGTGTACACCTCCCTTTTAGCTAGGAGACGTTCCCGTATGCCTTTGGTGAGCCATGGGGGCTTTTGCACCCTCTTGCCCCCTTTGACCCTTGCATTGCAGCATTCATGAACTGCCTGCTACCTTGAGGTATGTAGAAAAAACATTTAATGTTGTGTCTCTATCTGAATTGCTGAATCTTTCCAAATCTCTCCGAACCAATTTGGAAGGTTGCAATTTGATTCACAGAGATTAAAGGGCTTCCTGATTCAATTGGATTCAGAGATTTGGCCACTGAATCGGGCTGGATCTCCACCAAATTGAATCGGGGTTCCAAGTTTTCCACAGCCCTAGTTACTCTCTGTAAATAAAGGTAGTAAACAAACTGTGCACTAGCGCATCTTATAAGGAGGTAAAATTCTAAATTAACTTGGTGGGATAAGGTTGGTAGGTCAAATATATATATCAAGTAGAAGGTTGTTTGTATCCATTAGTTACTATGTGTAATTGATGAACTGTTATTATTGAGCATGAGAGAGTTGGGGAAAAAGTAGTATTTCTCATCATAGAGGTTTACTATTTCCAGTGAAAAGCAAAAGTGGTTAGAAAGCTTTGGGAAAGGCGGTGAATGTAGAAGAATAAAATGCTTAGAAATGTAAAGGAATGCTGATCCTTTAGGGTTCTAACCGTCTTTGTTTGGAAGGGTCTTCCATGGCTTGTAATGCATTATGTTCCTAGGCCAGCTCAGCTTTCTGGTGAACCAGTGTCCTTAAAAATCACAATTTCATTTCAGTCCATTTGTGTGCCATTTGGGGGGCAGTGTTGCCAAAAGCCAGTCTTGAAGAGAAACAGTCACCTTTCTCAATATTAGAGGTGGCCTTAATAGAGTAAAAACTGTATCTTGGCTAAATAAGTTCCTTGAGAGTTTGGCTGTATGTCAGGAGTCTTTTAATTCATAAGGAAAAGCGCAAAAGAGAATGCATCAAAACAAACTGGAGAGCTCCATAAAACACATGAAACACTTCCAAATATTTTGTCTCAGCATGGCTTTGTCATGGGTAGGTCTTGTCTTACCAATCTCATCTCCTTCTATGACCAAGTCTCTCACCACCTGGACACAGGAGACGTGGTAGACATTATATACCTAGACGTCCAAAAGGCTTTTGATCTAGTATCCTACAATATCCTTGTGGGGAAACTGGAAGCTTGTGGGCTCAGCTGCTCGATGGTCCAGTGGGTGGGAAACCGGCTACATGGTAGGTCCCAGAGAGTTCTCATGAACAGAACTGTGTCGTCCTGGTGTGAAGTGGCCAGTGGTGTCCCTCAGGGGTCCGTGCTTGGGCTGGTGCTTTTCAACATCTTTATCAATGATTTGGATGCGGGAGTGAAAAACTCACTGGCCAAGTTCGTGGATGACCCCAAGTTATGGGGCAGTGTGGTCATGCCAGAAGATAGGTTGCAGATACAGGCAGACTTGGATAGGCTCAAGAATTGGACAGACAAGAACCAGCTGAAGTTTAACACTTCCAAGTGTAAGGTGCTCCATCTGGGGGCAAACAACCCTCAACATACATACAGGCCCGGTGGTGACAGCTTGACTTGCACCGTGGCCAAAAGGGACCATCGCATGAATATGAGCCGTCAGTGCGAGGCGGTGGTCAGCAGTGCAAACAACACGCTGGCATGCATCAACTGATGCATCTCTTGTAAAGCTAAGGAAGTGATACTCTCGCTGTTCTCAACACTGGTGAGATGGTAGTTGGAGTACTGCGTTCAGTTCTGGGTGCCGCACTTCAGTAAGGACATGGAAAAACTTGAGAGGGTCCAGAAAAGAGCTACCCGTATGATCAGAGACTTGCAAGGCAAGCCATATGAGGAAAGGCTGAGGGACCTGGGTCACTTTAGCCTAAAGAAGAGAAGGTTGAGAGGGGTCTTGAGGGTGGCTTACTGCTATATCAGAGGTGTGCATCTGGAGCTTAGTGAACAACTGTTCACTATGGCACCCCTGGGGAAGACCAGGACCAATGGATATAAACTCCTGGAAGGCCACTTCAGGCTTAATACCAAGAAAAACTCCTTCACAGTCAGGGTGTCCAGACTGTGGAATAAGCTCCCTCTAGAGGTGGTGCAGTCACCTACCCTGGAGGTTTTCAAGAGGAGACTAAATAGTCACCTAACCCCAGTTGTCTTCTTGCCTAGAGCGGGGGGGGGCTGGACCCAATGATCTGCAAGGTCCCTTCCAGCCCCTAACAATCTATGACTCTATAAGCATGCAGTGGGTGTAGTGTAACATTTAGCATGAATTCTTAAGGGCAGCTTTTCTTGCCGCTGTACCAAAGCTCCACAGCCCAATCCAGTGCCTATTGAAGTAAATTGAATGAGTTTCATTGATACTAGTGCGTATTGGATTGACTTAGTTCATTAGCTGGATTCCTTAGTCAGGAGCATGGAGGAAAGGAGGGGTACAGATGGCCCTTTGCAAGTCATTACATTATGAAATCCCAAATTCCTGTAAATACAGAAATTTGATAGTTGTCCCTGAAATGTTTGATAAATCTTTAAAGTATCTGACTTTCTTCTGTTTTAGGAACTTCATAATATTTTTACTGAAAGCTATTTCTGGAAAGTAACTGAGCAAATACTTTGTTAGAGTGTTTGACTAAGCTTTTGTTTTTGTACAGTGTTGTAGAAGAGGAGACCAAACGCACTACAACAGTTACAGACACACAAATGGAATCAAATGATGATGCTGCCTTCTTGGAGAGATTAGCAAGGAGGGAGGAAAGACGCCAGAAACGTCTCCAGGAGGCCCTAGAGCGTCAAAAGGAGTTTGACCCAACAGTCACAGATGGAAGCTTGTCACTACCAAGCAGCAGAGAGATAAACAATGTGGATGAAGATGAGACCATGGGGAAAGAGGAAAAAATTGAAACACGCCAAGGACGCTACGAGATCGAGGAGACAGAAACCATTACCAAATCATACCAGAGGAACAACTGGAGGCAAGATGACGAAGAAGAAGAAGTAAAGAAAGAAGAAAAAGATAAGAAGGAGGTGCTGGAGGAGAAACCAAAGGAGATACCCACAGAGGAAAATCAGGTAGAGGTGACAAAAGAAAAGGAAACTATAGGCAAAGAAGATGTGTTAGAAGCAAAAACCCTAGCTGAGAATAACACCAGTGCCCAAGTAGAAAGGGAGGAGGCCATAAATATCACTCTTGTTCTTGATTATGGGAAACTTAGGGATGAGGAAAAGCAAAAAGCTGAGGAGGACAAGAAAAGAGCAGAGGAAAAAGAAAGGCTTGAAGCAGCAGAGAAGGAGAGGATAAAGGAGGAGGAGCAAAGAAAAGCTGAGGAAGAAAGAGAGAGAATTCAAGCAGAAGAGAGAAGAGCAGCCCAAGAAAAAGAAAGGATTGAGGCAGAGGAAAGAGCAAAAGCAGAGGAAGAGAAAAGGGCAGCTGAGGAAAGGGAGAGGATCAAGGCAGAGGAGGAGAAGAAGGCAGCTGAAGAAAGGGAGAGGGCTAAGGCAAAGGCAGAGGAGGAGAGGAGGGCAGCTGAGGAAAGGAAAAGGGCAAAGGAGGAGGAAGAGAGGAAGGCAGCTGAGGAAAGGAAGAGGGCAAAGGAGGAGGAAGAGAGGAGGGCAGCTGAGGAAAGGGAGAGGGCTAAGGTAGAAGAGAAGAGGAAAGCAGAAGAAAAGGCTAAGACAGAGGCAGAGAAATTAAAAGCAAAACAAAAGATAGAAGAGAAAAAAATTGAAGACAAAAAATTACAAGATAAACAGGTAAAAGAGAAGAAAATACAAGAGGAAAAGCCTCAAGCAGCCTTCCTAAGGAAACAGGTACAGTAAACATTTTGCACCGAACAAGAGGCCTGTGATTTGTGAGAAATGTAATGCAAGAAAAAACCACAGGATTGGAATTTGCTCACAGTTTTGTTCCTGCATTTAAACTACTAATGCTCTCTACAATCAGTATTTGATTTCTTTCTTTTCACTAAAGCTCCTTGCTTCCGCTTATCAATAATGCAATGCATGACACACTTAAATGCTCCATATGCTGGTTTTGAAACCCTATGAAGGAAAACCTGGCATGTTCAGAATTGTGTGCATTTTGCTGCCTCTTTTTCTTTTGCTTTAAGCAATAGCCTGTGAGGAGTAGAAAAGCACAGTTTGATGCAAAAGACACATGAGCTATGTGCGAAGAAAACTAAATAAGCATATGTTGTTGATAGAAGCAAGCACAGCTGGGGGCGTTCTCTGCTGGGATACTCAAGCACAATGCTACATGAGGGAGAAGTGAGCACAAAGGTCCAGGAAGGGGTGTGGGAGCACAGTTCCCTAAATTGGGAAGAGCAAGCACAGCTGCACATGGAGATGTGGGCACAGCAGCACACGATGGAGATGTGGGCACATCTGCACCAATTGGGTATGTGATCACCGCTTTGGCAAATCAGAGCTGGAAAGGTGGCTGGTAGAATGATATTTTCATCTTAACAAATAAAAAGGGGGAAGAAAAAGAGGTTAAAGTGGAACCTAAAAAGGAAAAGTTACCAGATGAGAAACTTCGACCTCCTTTCAAAAAAGACCAGGTAATTATTATGCACAAAGATGATGTCATAAGGAAACATGCTGGAACTTACAATCAGAATGACTCCATAGCAAAAGGATATTTTGTTTAGCAAAGCGCGTACTTATCTTTGTCATTAAGCATGTGCATAGTCCCATTGAAGTCAACAGGGGTGGAACTACTCATGTGTTTAATGGCAAAGTGTTTGGGTGAGTATTTTGCCTAATATTGGCATATTAGGGTGAAATCTTGCTGGTTTTTCTTAATGTGAGTGCCTCAGTGACTTCAATGAGACTCGCCTAAGTAAATCAAGCAGGCAAGGGTTGGACCCTGGAGGTGGACTTTTCAGGACTGTTCCAACTAATTTATCCTTCCCTAGTTTCCTCTACTTTTACTATGAACTTTTCTCCTGTGACTGAGACCTGTCTTCATAATAATTATGAATACTTCTAGGTCTCTTTGGCCACCTAACTGACCTAACTAATGATTTTCCTTCCCTACCCCCTAAAATAATCTGATGCTCAGTGATATATAAACCATGAAGATCCAAGGTTCTTTTTTTGTTTTAAAGAGAAATCCTACCAAATTTACTGCATTGCATTTCTACTGTAAACACAGGAGGTGGTGCCATGGTGTTTTACTGTATGGTAAGTAAATGAGGTTGAGAATAATTTACTTTTCAGACTTATAATAGGCAAACAGGAATCATGGTTACATTTGTACAGTGAATGTGCATTTGGATCAGTCCTATAAGCTACTGAGTGTGTAAACCTCAATTGGCTTTATTAAGAAGGTTGAGGATATGTAAGGCCTGCCAAGTTTGCACCCCTTTGGGCTCAAACATATATATCTGGGATGAGTACTGCAGGATGGAGGTAGATGGGACGAGGTGGGATGAACTACCTCTACATCTGTGTAGAGCGGTGATGCTCAACCTACAGCCCACAGGCTGAATCCAGCCTGTGGACTGTGTCATCTAGTCTGTGGGGCTTGCTATGGGCTGGGAAATTTGGCAGCAGGGGGGCAGTAGCAGTAATAATTGCATGGCTCTGGAAGCTGCCACAATTAATACTGCCACCACACCCTTGGAGTTAAATTTTTGAATCTGCGGGGAGCCAGATGTTGTAGTCCACATGCCAGGTTGCTCCAGTACACATAGATTCAGAACTGATGTGTGGGATCAGATCTGTGAATTTGCTCATTTACAGCAGTTAAGGAGCAGGCTCAAGATTTCTAGCTGTAGGAGAGTATCCAGGTGAGTTTGGGCCAGGCTGCAGCCTACTCTTAGAACTGAAAGCAAATGATACCATGTGTTTTATGGGCATGCAAGTGTCTAATTTTGGAAGCCTCATTTGCAGACTCATTTGTTGGGACCTACAGAAATTGTGATTTTGCAAAATCTGGCATTACCCATGAAATTAGCCAATATCAGTGAAATCTGCAAAAAAAAACCTTACTGAAAATAAAATCCTGGTTCCCCAGAGGGAGCCAACAGTTCTCACAGCACTATGGCTCAGCAGCACAGCCCACTGGGGGCGAGGGGGCTGCCAGCACGAAGGGGAGCTCAAGATGGCTGCCAACCCTACTCCTTGCTGCTGACTGGCAGAGTGGCTGCCTGTCATGTGGCCCTGCCCCTCTCCACCAATCAGTGGTGAGGGGCAGGACTGCATGACAGACAGCCCTCACAACCAATAAGCAGAGAGGGTTGGGGGCCAGTGGGGCCCTCAGCCAAAGAGAAGTATGTCGGGCGGGGGGGAGCTGCCAAAACTAGCCCATGAAAATGGCTACTGGCCCCATTATCGCCCTACAAAATTTGTCGTCCACCTCCTCGAGTTGGATACACCCCCTACTCATTTGAGACTGAAAAGCTACAAAACAGAGCATTTAAAGGGTTAGAAAAATGTTGGTCCTTATGTAAGAAGGGATATTGGTTCAATGAAGATGATTTAGCCTGGCAAGAGTGAGTGGAAGGAAATCTAACAGAGGCATTTAAGACAGTGAAGGTTAGAATAAAAAATGAAGTCCCTGTTTTTAGGTTGTCCCAGAAGCAATCATTTGTGGGCAGATGAATTTAAAACCAATAAAAAAACCAATTTCTCTGTAGAAAAAGGGATGAGTTTCCGGAATTCAGTGCCACACCGTATCGTTTAACATTGTAGATACTTTTAAGAGGATGCAGGATTAGTTCAGTACCATTAAACTTTGGAGAGACTTTGGGGTCCTACTACGTGTGGGCTGCTATCAGTTCCCATAAAAATTAATACAATCTGAGGGTGCTCTGCTGTTCTTATCTTCTCCCGTTATATGCAAAAACGACTCCTTTGAGACTAAGACTTCTGAAAGGGTTAGGAATTTTTTTTTTTAGATTTTTTTGGGTGCTCAATTTAAGACTCATTTTAAAAAGGCCCTCACTTTTTGAAACTACTCAGTACCCACTGTCTGAAAATCAGGTCCCTTTTAGGTTTCTGGAGTTGTATACTGAAAACTATTAGACCCTTTGGAAATCTTAATGATCACTTTTTGGTTTAGGACAATACTGGTGTTCACATTACTGCAAAAACAGTCTAGATGTGGACCTTGAGCATTTAACAGTGGTGTACAAAATTCAGACAGGCTCATTTTTTATTAATTAAATATTATTCATATATTATCATTCAATATTATTAATTGAAGTTAAGAAGAGGAAGAGGATGTGACCCTAATAAGAACTTGGAAGCATGCTTCTCCTCTATGATACCAGGTTTCTGCCTGTATTATACCAGTTTGTGCCCATTGTCAATGAGATCATAATCTGCCTTCTCAGAATTTTGGCTTCAGTCAAATTAGCAACTAGAAGTCCTGCTGCCTCTCTGAACTCTCCCAACACTTTGGGTCTGCAAAACTGGCCTGGAAAGTTCATAAGAACAAATTTTCTCATGACATGAGACTCCTGGTATTTCCTGCTTCTGGTGTGGCTAGACATGCTTCAAAAGTTGCTTTTTCTCATGGTATTTGGGTATTTCTGTGTTCACGGAGATTGGCAACAAAATCCCCTAGACCCAGATAGCTACAGCATTTGAGGCATTCCAAGATCAAACCCCAATCTGGAATTAAATGGTCCCAATCCTTAAAATGTACAGAACCAAAAGTTTGGGGCAGAAGAACTCTATATTGAAATCTTCCAGATTACCTATTAATTTACAGTCCTGGTCAGAACTAGGAGCTGCAGATGTGTGTGAAATTGTAGATATAATTAAAAACTGAGTTAATCAAACATTTTGAAATTGCTAAACTGTTTATTCCTGTTTTGTTTGTGTCTGGGGTCAAGATACGTGGGAAGAAATAAGCTATCTCTGTGAAAACTATACTACCCACCCAATCTAATTCCATTGAAGTCAGTGGGAACCCTTCTGTTAATTTCAACAGGAGTTGAATTGGTCTCTGTTTCCCTGAAACATAAAAGTATTTAAAATGCCTATTTCTCTCACTTACCTGGTGAGAAATTGCTGCTGTGAAAGAGACTGATCCTGCTTCTATTACAGTCAATCAGAGTTTAATCACTGAAATTCATAGAAGCAGTAATGGGTCCTAAACTGTTCAAATGTATCTCTGATATCATGCTTTATAATCTTTAATCAGAAATTCAAGTGGTGATGTTTTATCTAGCAAGTGTTTATATGCACACTTGGTAAAATGTCAGCCTTCTAAACAGTTATGGATTGGATTCTGCTAGTTCTTAAAGTGTGTTATTTAATTCTAACTTTCTTAGCAATTTAAATTAAGTTGTAGAATTTGCTGCCTTCCCCCGTGGGTGTTGCATCTTAGGCAATTGGAATTATTGTTTGTTTTTTCCATGAGACTTAGAAGGGACTTCGTGAAATAGCAGCAAGGTATGTGGGAAGAAATATTCTCAAAATTCCATTACAGATGCCGTGACATTTAAAATCCCAGAGCCACCAACAGCCGTGGTTTCAAAATCACTTTGACAAGTGGTGCAGGAGATTGCTAATGGAGATGGAACCTTTCACTATTAATAATATATCAGGTGTTCAAATCTTTTCCAGATCTGGGAGTGACCCAAAGATACTGCTGCCTGATGGCTGCTTGTTACATTGAATAGAACTGATTGTCTCAGAGCAGTTTCTAGAAGACAGAAGTTCACAACTTCAAAGCTACAACCACTGCCACTGACAATAATGGGCTTATTTGCTGGCTGGCAGTCATAGCATCATGGCCAAAGAATGCATGTTCATGGAAACCGAACTCTTCTCTTACCCATCAGAATAATTCTGCCAAGTCATAAACGAGACTGTAGTAGAATAGCATAGGGAAAGCTTACATTGCTGCTGTCTGTTTTGTGGACTGAGCGATTTTCTCAGAGTTATATACCCAGATTACATGACCGCCTCCCCCCCTTTCAGTGCACGCCACATTTCAGCTGTCACATCATATGTGTTTATTCAAATGAACAAACAGCTTTTGATCCTAGTGACAGGCAGAGCTGGTATTGGAGATTCCAGCTGTTTAGTCATCTTGTCAGATGCTTTGTAAGGCTCCCTAAGAGGATCCTGCTTTGAAAAGTGGGAGGGGATGCCTTCAGGAAGGGATAATTGTGTCTAGTCCCACTCTAGGTCAGAGTTTATTTTTCTCTTCATTTAGCAGATGGAACGGCAGGAGGATGCAGAGGGGAAGCTTTCTAAATGGTTTTCAAACCAGTTCTTTAAAGAAAATATGTGCTGCCTGCCCAATAGAGCCTTCTGCTGACATAGGAAAATTTTCTCGGGTTAACACTTTTATTTTCTTCCCTGCGATTCAAAACTTATTTGGCTCCTGGTCCAGCTAATTTACTTTGTGGGAATAATTCTGCCCACATAACAGAAGAACTAAAATCAATTGCCATCTCCTGCACTTTTCATCAGCATCCAAGCATGACTCAGCATGCTGGGGTCAGGCCGTGGATGGCCATGGTAAATACTTTTAAGACCAACATTTTCTGGATGGGGATTAGGGAGTGAAACCAATACATTAAATTTTTCGAATCTCAGTCAAATAATATAAAGTGAAGTCTGGGAGGGGGGAGGAGAATTTTTGCCTCAATGTTTTTGGAGAGAACATCTGCTTCTTTCTAGGATTGGAGCTGCACATTGGATAATACCCTCCACAACTAGTCAGTGATTGGTCTGTAACCTAGTATGGGGACATTAGAATTGCACACTGGTAAAAAAAAAACACATTTGGCTATGGCCTAATGATGATTGAACTACTTGGCAATGATGCGTGTAGTAGCCAACTAGTAGGCACCTGCTGTGACATTGAAAGCACCCGGTACATCCTGTTAGCCCACATCTGCTGTGCAGGTGACTGTATTGGCTACATCGGGATAGCAAGCACTTGCTTTTGCTGAGTTAGTTTAACAATCTGTTATGATTATTATTTCTATTGTAGAATCACCTAATAACCCATTGTAGTTACAACTATATGGACAAAAAACAAAGGCATTCCCTCTCTTACAGTGTTCATAGTCTGAGAGTCAGATGATGTGCAACAGGTAAATAAGCTAAAAAATGAGGGGCAAGGGGATGGGACAGGATAGTGGTCAAGACAGGTGTCATTACAATTGGGTTACATAGCAGTAGTAGCATTTTGTGCAGCAGATTTGCATGCAATGCAGGTAACTGCAGCTGTCTTCGGGTGTAAGGTAGATCAGAAGAGGGTGGCTGCAGATAACTTTTTAGAACTTTACAGGATGTTTGCTGTAAAAGATTTGAAGACACATGCTTAGGTGCCCAGCATTCCTAGTTACCCCTTCACTGCGGGAAACACACTCCTCTTCAGTTACCCTGAATGTCTAACTGTGACTCTCTTTCTTTGCTTGTATTCTTTATGGTATCTTCTGAGCAGATAAAAGATGACAAGGCTAATAAAGAAAAAGCACCTAAGGATGAACTTAAGGCTAGCTGGGATCGTAAGAAAGGACTTCCTGAATCAAAGCCACAGAATGGAGAACGTGTCCAGGAACTTACTATCCACAAACTTAAACATACTGAGAATATTTTTGGGTAAGATTCACATTAACACTGGATTTGTTTATATCGGAGTAGATCTAGTGGTCTTGTTACCTTTTATGGGTCTCTGTTACAGTACTTTTCAGCTGTGTAGTACAAGACTTAGGTTTCCAACATCAAACATAAAAATTATGATATTCATTAGTTTTTTTAGAATTGAATTGAGGGTCTCAGGTTGTTTTTTAATGGAATTCTATGCCCATTGCTGTAGCAATGAAATGAGATACGCATAGCTGGCTAATGAATAGAAAAAAGCAAACACCTCACTCTCTCTCTAGGGATCAGCAATTTGTTTTTTAATTTTCTTCCATCATCTGCTAAACTTTTGCTTTCTTAATGAACTTCATATTTTTATAGTCTACATTGAAATAAAGACTGACCTCAGAGCTGGGCTTTTATATCCTTGTCACATGAGCTAAGCCTTTACTGAGAATAACCCATTTCCAGTTACACACCTGCTTTAAATCAGATTCTGTATAATCAATATGAAGCAGTGTCCAGATGGTAACCTTTTTTAAGAGTTTATCTCTTAATTGTTTATTGTAGCAAACCACAAGTTTAATGGTTTTATACGTAAATAATTATTTGGTAGAAGAAAAACTACTCCTCGTCAAAATGTTTTAAAGAGGCATGTTCAGGAAAATAATGTTGTCTGAGATATCTGCTGCACTTGGGAAAGAGAGGGATTCATATGCCATAAAACAGAAGAAAACGAGTCCTCTTCACCTGTCCAGTGTTGGGTCAAATCACAATGAACATGTGAAATGTTTCTAAAATTCTCCTTGTAACTTCTTTGTTTGTTTTATTTCATGTTGGGCATAGGTCTCTGTAGCAACACTTAGTGATAAGACCAAAATCTTTCTTCTATTTCCCTTTGGCTACAACGGGATAGCAATGTAGGTGTCTTGTCCCAGGAGGATCCAAATCACCCAGGTCAGGTGTCTAGGCTTCTTATGGAGTGAATGGGGAGATCTAGATACCACCCAAGGTCCAGGTCACCCATCCAGTCACTTGGCCTTATTAGCCTACAGGTAGCTAATAAGTATGCTAAGTATGGGGGTGTGACTGAACTCTCACTCCTTTTCAGGGCTTAAGCAATTTGATTTAGGGATGCAAGGAAGCACTAGATTACTCAAGGAGGAGGTGTATGATCCAGAACAGCCTATCTGATGGCAGCACTGAGTTCAGTATAAAGCACAGCGTCTCCCTTGTTCCTTCTTGAGCTGGTGATGGTAGTGCCCACCTTTTGCTTTGCAGTCTAGTGATAACAGCACTTGCCCAAGAAGACAAAAACCTGACTTCTAGGTTTATCCTACCTAGGAGGAATAGAAACACAAGAGATGGGGCTTGTATGTTTTTTATGTTTTTCTCTGTTCTTCAGGCATTAAAAAGTGCTAGATTCTAAATGCTCCATTAATGAAACCACGGGGTTGCACAATTTATTGTCACAAGAGTGGGATTCAGATACATTTCCCAGTTGCCAGGAGAATGTCCTGAATACCCATTTAACAGTTGCCTTGCAGAAATTTATAGTCCTGGTTAAAAAGGATTTTTTTAATACTAAGTAGATACATTATAAAATAAGTGCCAGGTCACGCACTAGTCTAAGCAATGGTGCTTATCCCTGTTGGCCATCTGTAGTTAGAGCTTCTAGGATCAGACTCTAAAAGACTGAATTTAAAAGGAAAATAAAAAAAATGGCTGTTTTTATTTCAAATGAAGGGTCTGGTGCTGAAATGGGTCAGCAGTCTGCTGGATTATGTTGGGGGAACCCAAATATGTAGTAATAAAAGGCTTGTTATAGAGCTGAAATGGTGAAAGTTAAGATGCTCCTAGCAGTATTAACTCTATTACAGTTCACATTCACTGTTTCGTCATATGTTAACAATACAATTTGCAAGTCATGCAGTGTAGTCTGATAGCACAAAATTCCATTGAAGTTAATGGGGGACAGTATAGGTACATGGATTTGCCTGAAGGGATTCTAATCCAGGATTGGATTGAGTCCATAAACTTTTAAGCCCTGATCTGGAAAGGTGCTCCATTTTGGCAGCTCCTGTGAATTTATTAGGCCTTTATGTAGCTGCTCAAGTCTCCAAATGTGAAGAATGCTTGCAGAACTGAGGCCCATTTCATTAAGTCGCATGCTGAGGCAGTATTTATAACGCTTATTTGTTGTTATCTCTGTAATGTAGCTGCTTACTTAATATTGCTGTGGGAAATACTGATGTTTGTGCTCTTGGCTCTTGTGTGTTCAGTTTTGCACCCCTGTGGTTTCATTAATGGAGTATTTAGAATCTGTATCTTCTTAGAGCCTGAAGGACAGGGAAGAAATAAAAGCCAAATACATGTCCCTTTCCCATCTCTTGTAAGTACCATGATGAAACTGTCAAGTATGTGTGTCTCTGTCAATAGTTGTAAAAACACACTTCCAGGAGCAAGTATTTAGCAAAGTACTGATGTGAGAAATATATAACTAGCTGGAGCTGTTTAATACTCTGGGGAAAAATGTATTCATACTGCTCACAAGAAATGGGCATTTTTTAAAATGTCCTTAATTTCTCTGCATTAAAGCTGGTTGTGAATAATCTTTCTCTCAGAGGTGGGGAGGCAAAGCATTTAAGAAAATTAATCTGTAAACCCATTTAAAAAAGTCAAAATTCCCAGGAAATTTCAAAGAAAGTTCACACACATATGTCAGCCAGCTAGTCCAAGAGAATAATGCCTTAAATAAGTGAAGTATCTTGTACTGAAATATAGTAGAACAGCAAGAAGTGTATTTGCCATAACTATGCTGGAATCAAATGACCTTGACTTTTTTATGATATTTGCCAAGTGTGTGTATTATCTGTTATCTTATATACGTTGTTATAATGGCACTCACCTTAGACAGCAAAGGCTTATGCATGTCTTAAAATACTGTGTTCCATGCAACGCATTGCTGCTGTGTTTTTCTTTTGTATGTGCGCATCCTATTTAGAAAAAATTTAGAGACAAATGACTTATTGCCTTTCTTTGGATTCCTGAATTGTTTTCTTCATATATGCTTTTAGAAGATAACTCCCTAAGTGCAGCTCCCCAGTTACAGAATACAAATACATAAACACAGCGGCTTATATACTTTGAAGGTGGGGATGAAATAAAATAGATTTCAAACAAAGAAATCACAGCAGATATGAATATTTCCAAAATAAAGACCAAGTTATTTCCAAGAAAGAGGTGAAATGTATGCGTCTTAGTTTAAAGGTAGCATGATGCAAACATTGCATCCCCAAGCATGCAGGATGCTTTCTCCCTTCCCTTTCACTCTTGTCAGTGAAAGGCAGATGAGTGCATCTAAATACTTCAGCATACCTGATAAACCTATCAAGTTAGTACAGAGTTTATGAGGAACACATGATCTTGTAAGGAGGAACTTTTGCGTGTCAAGTTCTTATGACAATAAGTAATTCTAGCCAGGAAAGGAAAACCTGTGGCATACTCACCTGTGTTTGTTTCTTCCTCAGCCGCTCCAACCTGAAAACAACTGCAGATGCTGAAGAAGCCAAGCCAGTGTCTCAGCTTGAAGCTGGCAAAAGATTAGAGGAGTTGCGCCGTCGCCGAGGAGAAAATGAGAGCGAGGAGTTTGAGAAGCTGAAGGAAAAGCAACAGGAGGCAGCCATGGAGCTGGAGGAACTGAAGAAAAAGCGTGAGGAGCGCCGGAAGGTCCTTGAGGAGGAGGAGCAGAGGAGGAAACAGGAGGAGGCTGAGAGAAAAGCCAAAGAAGAGGTAATGGCATAATAGCACAAAGGGATGTCCAGCACCAGACCTTGGGACTCCCTTACTGATGCTGAGAGTGACTCAGTTCCATTTGTCTTTAATTAAATATCAGTAACACAGAAGCGAGTTATACTCTTGGATAGTAAATCAATGGGGATGAGAAGCAAGGCTATACTTAATATGAGGAAGTAGCTAAGGAAAAGCAGTGTGAAAGTGAGGGAGCTCTCAGCCCCCACTCCCCATGTGCGATCATGGAGCAGGGGCTAGGAGTTTGGGAACAGGCTGAGAGTTTGCTCCCAGCCCCAACTCTGCTCAAGTAATCCACACCCAGCCGTGGGCTCGCTGCTAGTTGCCCTACCGGCAGATCGGCGTAGAGGGCTGGGACCTGCCCCTCCCTCCTTTCCAAGTCCCCTGCCTTCGATCGAGGGGTGGGGAGCTTCCTGCTGCTGGCGCACGGGGACATTGTCCTCACCCAGGCTCCAGTGGTGCAGCCTACCCCAGCAGCAGGCAGTTTCCGGGGACAGGGAGCAATCTACCAGCCCCTGCCAGGTGACAGCTGTCTCCTGGCCCTGTGCTTCCTACCAGCACCCAGGAGGAGTCCAGAGTTCTCCCTGGATGCTGGAGGGGGCTGGTGAAGGGCCAGGGCGGGCGGGAGCAGACTGCTGCCAGGAGCAGCAAATCTGCTTCTGCATCCCTGCATGCATAGGTGCCTGCCTGGGGTGGGTTTACTTCAGAATAAATTACTCTACAGTAAACCCACTCTGTAGCATTTGCACATGTAGATGCACCCAAGGTCTACCAGATTGGCAGGACTAAAACTTGACTTTTATTCCTAGCTCTGGTGCTGTTGATGAGGCTGTCACAAGTCACATGACCTCTCTGTGCTATTTCTTCCTTTGCCACATCTGGTCTGTGTAGTTTACTTGGACTGCAAGCTCCTTGTCAGAGGGACTGTCTCTTACTTATGTGTCAATAGAGGGCCTAGCACAGTGGGCATAGCTTTCAGACAAACTAACTGCATTAATCCCCAGACTGATTCTGGAACTTTTAACCTCAGGCCTTGCATCCGATATTATGCCATGTTATCACATAGATGAACCAGTAAAATCTGGATCTAATCTCTAAAATGGGATAGGATCAGTGGGTGAAATGCCAACTTCATTGAGATCAATGGCAAGACTCTAATCAAATAATTGGGGCAAAGATTTTTATCTGTGGTTGTCTTGAATTTCCTATGATCAGTGCATTAAAAAACAAACAAACAAACAAACCTTCAGGTGTGGTGCTGCGGGAACACAGGTCTTTGTTTATTTGGGGAGTCTTTTTCTGGCATGTGATAGCTCAAATTACTAGAATCCTGATCCTCTGTGTATGCAAGTGTCTGCAAAATGGCAAAGCAGATGTTTGTTTGCTGAGGGTGGGATTAAATCCTGGGGTTACTCTGGGCTGGATTTCATTAGAAAGAGATTCTTGCTGAATTTAATATTAAATACCAAAATGCATCTGTTTTTGTCTGTTTCCCCTGGCAAGTGAGTCTTTTTAAACAGGATGTTCAGATCTCTGGCATGTAAATTAGAGATGTAAACCATACAGAAAATAAACTTTGATTTTGGGGGCTAACAATAACACTACTTAGTGCTTGGAAGGAGCAGCTTGCTCCTGCAATGTGTTGAGCTCCCAACTGGTCCACTGAAGAACTCCATAAATTAAGAGTACTCAGCTTGTTGCAGTAGTACGGCATATCCTGGTTCAGAGAACTAAGAAGAACTGCCCTGCTTGTAATTTAGTTGACATCCTTCAAATCCCTTTGTAGCCTGGGTGTACATGAGTTTGTACTTCCCTCTCCAATTGAGGGAATTATTGGCAGGGCAGTGTGTTGTGGAGGGATACAATAGCCCAGCGGCCGCCTCTGTCCCCTATAGAGTCAGGTTCAGTCAATCAATTACTTAACTATATACAGATTTATTATTACAACAAAACCATTAAAGGGTAAGGACATAGATTATATATATATGTACAAATTTACAAAACAATAAACCCTATTATATAGATATATAGATATAGATATACACACACATACACAGAGATATACACACCCAGTTATCATTTAAAATACTGATGAACAATAGAACAAACCAGACCAAAGGATATTGATTGGGCAACCTTATAACTCTATTCATATACAAACTATTACTTCATATTATTCCCATAAACTGTAAGGCACAGTCCACAAATATAATCAGCAGTCTTTAGACTACCTGGGTGCCCTCCAGGGCAGGGGCCCCACTCCCAAGGTACCACTACAGGAAAGGAGGTGGGGGGAAAGAAAAAGGAGAGGAAGACCTCAAAGACTCCTAAACTCACCTGCTATTGTTGAACCCCAGCTCAAGTCTGGGATCGTGCCCGGTATGCAAAAGCCAATAAAGATACCAGGGGTGAAAGTATAAAGAAGATTTATTGCTAGCAATACAAGGTGCAAGCGGAATAATTTCACGTAACAAGCACACAGATTCTTAATTCTAAGCATCTTTTATACAGGAGTATTGGACCTTCATAAGCATTCTTGTTTGCTAATTGGTTATAAGGGAGTGACACAAGGAGTTCTTTACTGAGCATGTCTCTATACCTGTGTTTTAGCTATGTATCTCATTTACATACATGTATGTTTCATTAGCATACTTTCTCCCCACCTAGGGGTGTGAATCTTAATATTTAAATCAGCTCTTTGCCCTACTCCACTAATTCTGTTTTTGTTTTCAAGTCTCCTTTATCTAAGACTGTCTTCTCCTTATCATTGCAATTGAGCATTAGTTACAGAACAGAGACTTTTGCTTGGGCTATGTGTAGTGGTTTCTAGGTCAAACCTAACATTTTCCCCCTCTGGAGCATTTTTAATTATTTTTATTATAATTGCTCCACTCAATTTGTTTCAACACAAACCTAGTATTCTCAGCTTTCTTCGTTTGTAAAATCATTTGATTCACCTTAGGTCTGAAGATAGATAAGACGACAGGTGAACATTGTATACATAGGATATTTGATTGGTCTTGTTACAAAGGATTCTTCTACCTTGGTTCAATTTGAAGCAATTATTAGTACAATTAACTATTAGGAAACATTCAGAAGCATTAGCTGTTGCCTGAACCCGTACGGAAAACATGTCTCTATTCTTCTCTTTTACAATAGTCCCCCACTTATATATATTCTGATATGTACTTTTCTTCTCTACATTCTTCAGCATAGTATAATTTTGTAAAATTTTTAAAGGGGTTGGTACTGCGATTAAGCATGAGGTAAAAACCAGGTGAGCATTGATCCCTCCCGCTAAGCAGAAGTCCGTTCTATTTAAAATTTCCCGGGCCAGATAAATCCAGACATTTTCCTGAGGGTCAAATTTTTGTTGTAAAAGGGTTTCCCCTCCTATAAGTAGGAGTGGACAGATCAGGGTGCCCCACAATAAAACCTTGAACAATTTCATAATAAGGCTTATAAAACTTAATCAAAGATTGTCAAATTATTCAAAGTTCCTTTCTTTTGAATAGGAATTTCAAGTCTCTTATTGGCTCCACCTTCCACTGTTCTCTGTCTCCGGTCCCGGAGTCTGCAGGGATTCCTTCTTGTTCTGGTCCAGCCACCGGCTTTAGGCGACTGGAATGTATCCAAGTCTTGATTCCTTCGAGCTTTGCGGCCGTCGGGGTCGTTAGAAGTACCCTATATGGGCCTTTCCATCTGGCTCGAAGTGGTTCCTCGTTCCAATCTTTCACAAGGACGTAACTCCCAGGTAATAATCGATTTCCCAGGGCAGGATACTGGTCCTGTGTCTGCAGCACGTCCCGTACCTGCTGATGGATGGAAGACAAAACAGAAACCAAGGACCATACATATTCTCTAATCATTCCCTCTCCTAAAACATGTAACTGTTGTTCAGTACCCATGGGCAGACTCAGAGGGTAAGGCTTACCATACATTATTTCAAACGGGCTTAATCCCAATTTAGAATGTGGTGCGACCCTTACTCGTAACAGGGCCAAGGGTAGGGCCTCTGGCCATTTGAGTCGAGCTTCTTGGCAAATCTTTGCAAGGTGTCTTTTTAAGGTCTGATTCATACGTTCCACCTTTCCACTGGACTGAGGTCTCCAAGGGGTGTGTAAATGCCAGCTGATTCCCAGGAACTCAGAAACCTTCTGAGTAATTTGTGCAATGAAATGTGGGCCATTGTCTGACCCTATTCCTTTTGGAAGTCCGAAGCGAGGTATGATTTCTCGTAGGAGTGTCTTGACTACCTCCCGGGCTTGGGCAGTCCGACATGGGAAGCACTCAACCCAATTAGAGAAAGTGTCCACAAAGACAAGGAGATATCTCATCCCTTGTTGTCGGGGCAACTCAGTAAAATCCACCTGCCATTCTTCTCCTGGCCCATTGCCTATTCTCTGATGTCCTGAAGTTTCTCTTCTCCCTCCTTTTGGGTTATTTCTCTGGCAGACCTCACATGTTTTTAATATTTAAATTAGCTCTTTGCCCTAGTCCTCTGATTCTGCTTTTGTTTTCAAGCATCCTTTATCTAAGACTGTCTCCTCCTTATCATTGCAGATGGGCATTAGTTACATAACAGAGACTTTTGCTTGGGCTTTGTATAGTGGTTTCTAGGTCAAACCTGACACTATCACCCAGGAGCAGCCCACGTAGTGCCCCTTTGCAACGCTCGGGGTGGGTGGGGGGGGCCCTCCCCTGTGGGGACCCCCTCTCCAGGGTAACTTACTACTCCACAGTCCCGGAGGATTGCCTCTTGTTCTCCAGGTCAAGCTCTGTTTCCCACCGGGTTTTCCTGCCACCTGACTCTGCTGCAGCTGTCCTGGCTTAGGGCCATATGCACCACTGTGTGTAGTGAGCGCTTCACCTTGTGCTAGGGGTTGGAGGCCTGGACAGCCTTGTACAGCATTGGGGCTTGGTCTGTTCCCAGACCCTCTGGGCAGCATAGTCTGCACTGACCCGAGCCGCCTCAAGCGGCTCCCAGGGTCTCTCACCCTCCATGCAGCACCTCCTGCACCGAGCTCCCAGCCTCATTCCAGGGGTTGAGGACCAGAGCCGCCCCAGTGGCTCCAAAGATCCTGCTCCATGCACCAGCTTGTGCACCGAGTCTCTGGCCGCATGCCAGAGGTTGCAGACCCAAGCTGCCTCATGCAGCTCCCAGGGTCTGGACGCTGTGCACTGTGCTGCGCACCGAGAGCCTAACCACTGGAGCCGTCCCCCGCTCCCTGCTGATAGAAGTCTTCAGGGGCTCCTCCTGGGCTGCTGCTTTGCCTTGCTGAGCAGCTGGCCTCAGCTCTTCTAAGCCCCGCTCTTTACTCTTCTCTGTCCCCAACACCTCTCTCCCGTGCTGGGCATACAGCTCCTTTTATACACTCCAGGGCTCTGCCCTGAAGTTTTCCAGACCTGACAGTTTGCAGTCTTAAATCAGGTCCGGGGGAGCTCTTCTCCTCCCCCCACCCAGGAAAGGGGCATGATGTTATTTCTCTTGCTGCCTCCTGATTGGTGGATGAGCTCCTACAAAACAGTAGGATCTCAGGCCTGGGACTCAACCCAAGCTCTGAAAGGTAAGCTTGCTACATCTTCAAAAGAATAACCCTGTTATTCATTCATAGTGGTTTTCATCTTCAAATTACTGGGCATACATAAGTCTTCCTTACACATGTAAGGTAGATATGCATTAACCTTCGTGCTATGATTCCAAGTCAATGAATCTTAGACGGGGAGAAATGAGGCTGCAGAATCAATTTGTTTTGAAAATTTGCTGGGACTGTGAGTGGTGTTGGTTTGGGGCCTGTTCTTAGGCAACTTGGAAGTGGTTCCTATCCCTTTTCTTCTCCGGACAAAGGGTCAGATTGACTTAGTGTCTTGAAAACATCAATATTGTGACTCAGAGTCACATTAAATGTGGTTTTCTTTAGCATTTTTAACCCATGTGTAATAGTTTTAAAACAACATTCAGCTTCTTACATCCCAATCTTTCATGAGATAGCATTTTTTAAAATGTTGCTGTCTCAGTAAACACTGGACCACAGCAGCATATTTAGTTATGCAAGCAATGCCTTTGTGAGAATAAATGAATGCAGCATAGATTAACCCTGTCTCCCTACAAACACACTTGATACTGTGGTAGATTAGTGCATTACATGTGCATAAATAAATTACTAGAACTGAAATAGGTCACAGACATAGGGGTCTATTTTTTGCAAATCCTGTAACTGTCTTTGGGAAATTTAAGGTGCTGAGGATGACACTATGGTATCTTGAAGAAAACAAATGACCAACAGATTATGTATACCATTTTAGGAGGAGAAGAGGAGGCTGAAGGAAGAGATTGAGAGGAGAAGGGCTGAAGCTGCTGAGAAACGTCAGAAGATGCCTGAAGATGGCTTGTCAGAGGACAAAAAGCCATTTAAATGTTTCAGTCCCAAAGGTTCATCTCTCAAGGTAACATCAGCACTAAGTCCTACAATATAAGTAAATAAAAAGAGGGAATTGTGATAAAAATCATGTATATGAACTTTTAAGATAACTCATAATCTCACTGAGGACCCTGATCTGAATTTTGCAAATGGGCCTTAACAAAAAACAGATGATTGAAATACAGGGCCAGATTTTGCAATTTCAGCTCATCTCTGGAAAAATAGTTAAGCTCTGTATGAATATTATCTAGAGTATGAATTAGGCATTGTCCAAAAAGAAGCCTTTCTATAACTTTTGGAGAAAATAGCTGTGAAAAATGTTAGTGTTCAAAATGATAAACTGATAAAGTTAATTAACGTATATGTCAGTAATGTTGTTTATTTATAGAAGGAAGCGGGAGAAGAATTGGAAATGGACTTTTCTTCCGTCCAAATTTTGATCTTGTTTCCCCTTAACATTTGTGGTGAACATATGGCCACAGGGAACTCATAATCTACATTCAGATTAAATTTATTCCCCCTTGGGTGAAACTGGCCACATCTACATGAGATGCTGACCGCAGTTGTTACTGCACGGTCATTTAGTACTTGCATAACTAAGTATTAAATGACTCCACAATGCATCTCTGCTCAGTAGCATCTCAGCATGGTTGCCATGGTGACACTTACTGCAGTAGCTCTTTACTACTGCACAGTAGCATCACATCATGGTTCATGCCCAGAGACACTACTGCGCAATAGTAACAAGCTACTGTGCAGTAAGCATCTTATGTAGACATGGACACTGTCTCCCCATACAGGGCACGTCTACATGAGATGTTTACTGTGGAGCTGACTAATTAGCTCTACATGTGCTATTAGGCTGCAGTAATCTAATTAACTCTGCTGTAGGATAGTACTGCCAGACACAAGTATTATCCTATGGTGGAGTTATTTACTCTGCTGCAATGCATGTATAGATGCTGACAGGGCTGTCTGGGACATGAGAGTGCTTCAGTGCGGGGGTTGCCTGCTGGCACCCACATTGTGCTGCCCCACATTGAAGTACTCGTGCCCTAACCAGGCCCTCTGCAGCACACTGAGCCAGGCAGGTGCAACCCTGCACTGGCAGGCTGACCCTCCGGGCTCCCTGCCAGCTGGGGCTGCTCCGCCCCTACTCAGATTGCTGTGGTCCTGACCACACGTGCATATGGCACACCTGGGAGAAATAAACTCCAGCACAAACTTCACCAGATTTTATTCATGCACAGTAATTGCATGTGTAGACATGCACACAGAGATTATAGCATAAATTTATCCCCTTTTAAAGCTTCAGCTACAAGTTATTGTGCTTGCTAGTGTTTGCTTTATATGGCAAGGAAGATTAACTTTCTCTGCTACAGGTAACGTTGAGGTGATCTTGATGCTGTGATGGTCCAGGAAATACGCAAGAGGCAAGAATTCTTTAGGGTGATACCTTTTATTGGGCCAACTGCATGGTTGGGATAGACATAGGCAAACTTTTGGGTGTCACAGTACCTTTCCTTAAGTTTGTGGGAGAGAAGGAGACAGCAGAGTTAAGTAGCAGATAGAACCTCTTTTCTCTACTTCAGGAATTTCTGGTTGGCTTGTTGTGGCTGGGATTATCCAGGAAGTTTAACTAGATTATCACAGCAGCTCATTTTGGCTTTAAAATCTGTGGGTGAAATCTTAACCCCACTGACATCAATAGGGATTTTGTCAGTTGGGGTCTGGGTTTTATCCAATGAATTCAGGCTTTATTAGAAGGTTAAGTTGGTGTTTTACAGCTGAGGCAGGAACTACCTGGACCATGAACTTAATATTCAGAAGTCCTTTTAAGATCAATAATAGTTTTGCTCACAGAATCCCAACCTTCCTGCTGATCTGCAGATTTGGTCCGTCTACATTGATTTGGATCCAACTCTGAGTTATGACATGAAACCCAGTGACCAGGAGGATGTGACTGGGCTTTGTTTGGATTTTTCAGGTATATCTGAATCTGAAACTTGAGAATAGAGCATAAACCCCTGGAAATTAAGAATGTCAGGCTTCACAGTTTTCATTGCTTAGCTAAAATCAGGCTTAATGACTGAGTTAGAGACTTTTCAGTAACTACACCAAAAGCATCATTCTAGGTTTCCAACTGCTAGAAATCAAGACCACTGTGCAAATTCTTATATGAGCTGTTTCTTCCCCTCTTTAATATGCATTAGGATGTCTTTTAAAAAATGTATTTCATATGCCTAGCTGACAAATGATCTGACGGTTCTTTTGTCTTCCCTCAATGTGAGGATTGAAAAATGTTGGGTTTTCCAGGGGTAAAGGAAGAGGGGATTTTTTTAATCACCATTTTGGATCTTCACAAAATTGTTTTGGTAAAAATTATAGTTTCTTTAAAAAAGAGAAACCTAGATCTTAAATTTTCCATCAAGTTCTGGATGCTCAGTTATGGGGGGTGCTGGAATAAAGTTGAGAGGCAGGAGGCTCAAAGTTTTAGCGGCATGGAGTGGAGTGGGGTCAGGAGTTCCCTCCTCAATCCTGCAACCCCCTCTCTATGGGAGATGCTGCTGGGAGGAGTGGTGTCAGATGTTGCTTCCAAGAGCCAAGTTAACCATTCCTTACCTCTGCAGCTATTGCCAAATAAAGGGTTTGGGACCATTGTTTGCCATATGAAACTACAGCAGTTTCAAGGCACGGGGAGGGTTAACCTGTCTGCTGGAGGTGATGCCTCCCTTCACAGTAGTGTCCTGCTTCTGTTTTGTTCCACGTGATACGAACCTCAACCCCTCCCTCCGCCCACAATGCCTTTGTTTCAGTACCTCAGGGCACAAACCCTATCAGGTATGAGTCTGCTGCCTAGGGTGCAAGCTCTACCAGTTACACCTCTGCTGCATTTATGCATTGGTAGAGTAGTTTAGAAAGCAAGACTGAGCAACGTAGTTCAGAGGACAAGTATAATGTGGAATCTAGCTTTGTCTGTTAGGTTGTCCATGGGTAAGAAATATGTATTAAGGCCAGAAGGAACTATTGTGATGATCTCTGATTTTGAGCAGACTCCAGAACTTCACCCAACAATTTATGTTGTTAATGTGACAGTTAAATAAAAACATATTGTTGAAGCCTAAGATCTCTCTGCTTCAGTAATACAGCAGAGAGTTTTGAGGCTGCTATCACTCCCTAAACAGAAGAAAGTAGGGGGCATGGAAGCAACTGGGTGCTTAGTTGCAGAGGAGAGAGGATATGGTGGATCCAGGATTTGAAGGGGATGATCATGACACTGGGGAAGCTGAACTGGGTGTAGAATGGAATCCCTCAGATGAGAACATGAGGGTTGGGTTCTTTCCTACATGACAATAAGGAATAAAAATGTAAAGAGAATGAATGCCAGATTCCTTGCTGGCACAGGGACAGAGGAGAGGCAGCTTGTTCCTTCCCCTGCTCATCACTGCTGGGACTGGTGCAGACCCGTTAGACTATTGTAGCGGTGCAGGATCACTACTGTACTTGCCTTCTTCCTTTGGGAACCTCTTAGTGGGGTGGGTAGAACAAGTTTTGTTACACCACCTGGGAACAGAGTCTCTTGGGGACCTTTTCAAGTTGTACACAGCACAAATGGATACAGGAATGCACAGCCCTTCCACAATGAACAAGTCCATTCAGGAACGTTATTGGGGTGAAAACCATACACACTGTTATTGACCTGTGTCTCCCTCATTTGTCCTTTCCCAAAGTTGATTAAGAGAAGCCAGAAGATTTAAAAAATGAAGTCTCCTTTGGGTGTGGTGAGCCCCCACCCTCCATAGTCTGAGTCTGCAGTTGGACAGGAAAACAAAACCAGGGTGGAGCTGAAATGGGAAGAACTCCAACTTGCTGGCTGAGTGTGGGCGGGAGCTGTGACAGGGCTTTAGTCTTGGAGGTTCTCCAACTCCTTGCTGCAGAAATCTTATAGGGGAATAAAGGGATTTTGTGGCAGCCATCTCTGAAATACCAGGCTAACTGCAGAGCTGGGAGCTGTGACCTAACAGGACTTGAGACTTCTAGTAAAAAAAAGAAAAAAGGAAGATATCTTTGTTTATTTCATTGCTTATTTAGGCAAGAGCTGAGAATGAGAGCATTGGCTGGGAAGAATTTGGGAAGCATTGACTGGGAAGAATTGATTTATAAGAGATGTTCTCCCTTCCTTCCCTGCTCTCCCTGCTAGTGTTACTGGATCATAAGATTACATTTTAAAGAACAGTATTTTTTTAAGACCCTCTTCTCTAGGTTTAGTTCCCTCCCTATTATTTCCCTCTTGAACAGGAGATGGCCCAAATTTAGCCCTCATCTAAGGGACCCAAATTACCTGAGGAGTGAATTGGGCCTATGTGCAGAAATGGTTTTGATGACAACAGAAAGCAAAAGAAGTGTTTAGTGGGGCCCCAGTGGAGGCTGGTGCTCAAGGAGACTAATGGCAGAGCGCTTTCCTCCTGGGAGCCAGAACCCAAAGTGTTTTTTCACTAGGTTCCTACAGCTGGCTGCCGTGCATTAGCTACATGAAATATTGGATAGGTCTTTGATTTGCTGCTTTTCCTGGAACAGCTCCAGTTGTCAGTTGGAAAGTGGTGTTTTGATAGTATTCAGTATGCCATTTAAAATTCTCAAGAGCCATTTTAACAAACAAGCCATAGCTGGAATATTCAGTCAGGATCTTTTCCTCAGTAGCGTATAAATGCTTTGGGTCAAATCCTCTGTTAACTCATTCCCCATACCAACCTACTCATGTAATTTGTGGTTGCATGGCTAGAAGTGAAGGTCTTAGATTATATCTTTAGCCTTGTCAATATATTTAGCAACATCTTGCACAACTTCTACAGAAGATCATCATGTAGATCTCTGAGCCTGTATAAACAGGATGGCTTCAAGGAGGAGAAATGCATAAATGTGATTGTGCCTTAGTCCTAGAAAAATCCTCCTCTAGCTTAATTAAACTATATATGCTCTTGCATTTGCATGCTTAACCTCTGTTAATTAAGAGCCTTATCCCAC